AACAGTACTCATGACTACTGGGACAAGGTGTCCACCCACAGGGTTTACATACTGTAGTAATAATCCTTCACAGAGAGAGGACTGGGGGTGGGGTAACAGCAGACCTGTCCAACCCTGATAGCAACAAAATGCTAGCGGAGTGCAGGGAGTGATTAGCTCAATTACTTCATCTCTCAGCCCCCAACACATTGTACAGGTGCCAGAGCATAGCCCCAGTGGGTCTGGCAATAGCTGTAGTGCGTTCGTTCACCAATGTGTTAACTGGGCACTCCACCCTCTTTTGCGACAAGGCAAGATGGCCCAATTCCAGTGCTTCAGGGCGGTTGTGACTGCGGGTTGTCATTCCAATTCAGCTTCATTATTGATAGACTCATCCAACGAATCCAAACTTCTCCCTTGCTGTGAAAGGGCAAGGAAAGCCTGCAGACGGACTGGCCCTTCAGGACACGAGCTGACCCACCCCGACACTGACACTGACACTGCTGCTCACCTTTACTCTTCTACTTCCAGAGGACATCACGAATCGTTACCAGTATGTGTACAGGCAATCAAGAACTCCTCGATCGGTCGCTTCCTGGGATGGTGAATGTTTTTATATTATTTTCAAGTGAAAAGCATCATATCTGTATAACTCTTCTTAGCCTCATTCCTTTCAGTCTTTTTTTTTTACTTCAGAAAAATACATTCAATAAAGAACCACTTAGATTCTAAGCACGACTCCAGTTACAGCGTTTTTAAACAATTGGATGAACTCTGCAGTAACATTTATTAATCTATTCCTGAAGCCATTTCGCATTAACAGAACAGTCTGTTCTAAAGCAGCTTTTCCAAAAAAAAAGGTCCAAAAGACAAAGCAACAGAGTCACTTACAGTACATGGCAATATTATGAGAATGCTCAGACATGATGCCCATATAGGAGTTAACCCAATAACAAAGAGACTTAAAATGGAAAACTAGGCCTGATTAAATCTAATTTAATACAGAACTAAATCACCTCGAGTCTTGCTACATTAAATACTATTTAGGATGTATGCAGCTCATTTGAATTTCAGATTTTCTTTACATTGTCCTTATTTCCTTCAGTCGGGCTTTGATTATAATTTTAAAGAAGGCTAAGACGGGTTACACAAGCTTTCTGGTTTCCAGGTATTGTCTAATTGTTCAGAATGACCAATGAGTGGCATAAGGAAGTGAACAGAAAACCAAATTCAGTATAACCACTCCGAGGACCAAAGAGGGTAAAATATGAATTCTGTTTCACATGCCACACAACTAATGTACCTTGGATGATCAGCTTGTTTTTTGCAAACACAAATTATACTTCTACCCTTGAAAATCCTTATTCTGAAAAAAAATGGCCTACAGGTCATTAGAACCTAGATGTTTTTAGCAATGATTACTAGACCACTGGATTAATATATAATGTATTAACTGGCACCTACCTGTGTTGTCTCACGATTGTCAGTATTACATAGAAGTTCCACATTTTCAAGAAGAACCTGGTTATTCACAATTAGGAGACACAGGTCACAACCTTAAGTCTGCCATAAAATTCACCTCAATTGCATCTACAAATTGTAAACAGGGTACAATTCAGTCCAGCAAGTGTGGTGCATTTCTGACCGGTGCTGAACAGGACATGAGTCAACCTCTCTCATGTATTAGTAAGACCTCATTCAGGATACTGTATATAATATTCATCATCAAATTACAGAACAAGACATTACTGCTCTGTAATTAATCCAAAAAAGAGCAATCAGATACATTACCAGGCTTGAAAGAATGTCCTGCCCTAAAAAGTTTAAAGAAACAAAACTTGTTTCTACTGAATCTTGTCTGCCTGCAGAGCACTTGAAGATACTGACTGAGCCAACACAGTGAACAAGGGTGAAATATGATCTAAAGGGAACTTCATGTTTAGAAACTAGAAGCATCTTAGATAAACAAATCTCCAAGGCCCAGTGGTATTCTACCAGCTGCACTTTAGGAAACAAGATGGTCTCCACAGGGCATAAATAAAACTCTTCCAGCCGTCACACACGACAGTAGAAATACCTATTAACAAAACACCCACTCGACAAAACCGATTCAAGTAATCATAGACCGATAACCAATAGGAGTTATGTGGTTATGATGTAAGATTATGGGAATCAGTGTTTTTCAGGACCACTGCTCTTCTGTTAAATCTATAGATCCTGGCACAGTTAGTAAACTAGTCAGGTTTGCAGATATTACTAAAAGGGGAAGATATCCAAACAACTTCAAAACTGGACAAACTGGTCCAGGAAGACCAAACTCAAGACTGGGGAAACATCTGGAAGATTGCATACACTCCCAGGTGTAAATTGACTGAAATTACTAAAATAACTGACCCATCTGAATCCTGAACAGATTCAGACTATAAGACTGTAGGACTAGTCTAAAAGGCTTTGACAAAGTAAACCCAATGGACTTCTTCAGAATGAACAGTGACACTCAAAAGGGATCTGAGAGTCTGAAACAAGACACCAGCAAACTTAAGAAAAGCCTGTATGATTTGTTCAGTTTAAATAGCTTCTAGCAGCCAAAAAAACTAGATGCGCCACATGATCTCTTCTGATTTGCCATTAATACAGCATGTTCTCTGTACTGTGACCCAACGTTTCCCCCTGTGTACTAATTAATCTCTATGGGACAATCAACACAGTCCTACAGGAGCCGTAGCAACTTTTAGATTTCACCCCAACCCACCTTTAAATAACTTAATTGATCTAATTATTCACTTAATTGGATGAAGTAACCATTTTCCACAGTTCTTAATCAGTCGCTAATTAAAAGATACCAATAAAATCTGTAGGCTGTGAACCTTGGAAAGAAACTGAATCATCAGCCACATTTGTCTTGAAGACATCCTATATTTGTATTACTGCACGTCTAATAGGGCAGAAAATTAACAATGCAACTTCTATCAATAACGTTACACTCTATCCCACCCAATCTACCTTCCAGGCACGTACACAAACAGACGCATTACGAAAGCAAACATTTCAGCAGGCGTTACTTCTCCTGACACATTCTTTAATTCCAATTCCAATTCTTTTACGATGCATTAATTCAGAAGTATCATTTTTAGCAGCATTCTGATTTTTTTCATCCATATGAAACGGACGTCGTTACACAACTCTGGCAAACCCTGTTGCACATGAAGCTCTCCTACAGAGGCAAGAAGTGTGAGAGCCACGTGTGATGCTCCAAACATCTGAAAGTTTGAAATCGGCACCAGGCGGGGTGTTGAGGGCTCTTGCCTAGAGCTGTAAAATTAAGAAATTTGAACTCAAAGTAGATCCTGCTCTACATAGTAACTAACAAAAACAATTCCCAAAAGTTTGTTTCCTAAACTTGGTAAGTTCGCCTAAAAACTTCCCACTGCACACATTGGGTACCCCAGTGCGGCACAAGTCAGAACCAAGGTCCAAAGCTTCCTCCCCCCAGGTACTCCTGCCTCCAGGAGCCTGATCAGCACAGCCCAGTCCAGTGGCTGCAGCACTGCTATGTGGAGCTTCAGTGCATCTGGCAGAGCTGGGGACTCAACTGCTGATGGACCAGATTCTTTCAAATTCAGCTCTTCTCCTAGAGGCGAACAGAAAAGCAGACTGACTGCGCGGACGTGACACAGCTTGGACTGTCAGCCCGCCCCACACGAAGACTGCGAGTCTCAGGTGAGCCCCAGGTGCTCCGATCGTGCCCTGTGTTACACAGCAGAGAAATCATCATTCTGTAAGAGCTTACTTTACATTAGGCACATTTGTAGCCAGATCTGTTAAAATAAATAAAAAATGCCAGAGTCCTTAAAACAAACGCCCTGGGCACAAATCGGGTTTCTTGTGTAGTGCAGCAAACGCAACGCTGTAAACATGCTTGCTGTTTGTCCGAGAACTTTGAACCACTGCTCCTGCTCAGGCCTTGTGAAATCAATACCAAAACCAAAACCAAGACAGCGTGTCAGGTGCAGGGACCACGTATAGCACCATGGCTGGAAAAGGGGATAAGCCTCACTAAAGCACTAAAACTCTGAATCTACCGCTGATCGTACGGACAATAGTGTCTTTTTTCCAGAAAGCGGGACAAGGCTTTCCTGTGGAGCAGATCTGCGCGCCCACCCCAGGAGCCGCAGGTGTCTGTGCCATGCTGGAAAGGGGGCACTGCGGTCAGCCCCTTCCATCACAATGGATACACTCTGCTTGTGATTGGAGTGGACAGAACCCCCTGATAATACTGCTTAACCGGGAACAAAAGACACCTGTTTCCATGAGATGTAAAGATGGTTTTAAAATACTGCAAAAGCAATTTTGCACTAAGTTGGCTCCTTGATTCTTACGGAGCCTTCATGTAAAAAAATCCCCATCATCATACTACATTCCAGCCCACAGCCAGAGACAGATGGGTGTGATTTTATTGACACCTGGCCTTCCTACAAGCTATTGTTCAGCAATAACAAATGGTTTTGTATTGTTTAGGCTTGTAAATCGGGTGGTGTCCCACACCCAAGTTTGAACCATCAAGCTTAATGCATGAGTCTTCACAAACTCGAAGGCGTTATCTGACATACGGCATCCTGCAGCAGTTCAACTCTTCACAAAGCGAAAAGGCAAACGGGAAAGTGGTTAACAATGTGTGCGAATGAAAAACTTGTCTTCGGGGATTTCAAGTAAACGCTTTCAGCGGTGTGCGCTAGACTGGGTCACTAGATCATCCGGTGACAAATTGGCGCACATCTGGTTGAACGGTAACCCCCCGTTGTAGAAAGGTGTATTTTGTCTATGCAGAACAAGCACAGTAATAACTTCTCGTTTGCTTTTTGTGTATTATTTAATTAAAAAGGACATGGGTTGATTGGCTGATGCTGTTCAAAGAAGGAAGGGTTCTCGATTAAACCTTCCCTCCTGCTACAGGCCCACGCACTTCTCTAACGCAAGGAAATGTCACCAAGTTTTAATACTACTACTAGTAAAGCACTTACCAGTTTTTTGTTCTTGCTGTCATCTTCGTTTGGTTTTCTTTTTGTGTTTTTGTTGGGGTCCTCCCCGCCGGCAGCTTGTGATTGATTTTCCATTTTTCTTTTAAATCCCTGGCCTTCTTTTGGAAGTTAATATCCTCTCGTCGAAAACTGATGCGCTCGACCTCTCTCGGTTATCCCTCTAAAACAACCCAGGGAGAAATTCTTCCTCAGCCATGCCGTCAAGCCCGAACACATGGACACATCCCCAGGCTGTCTGGGATTCACTCTTCAATAACCAGCAAAGTTTCCAACAAATCGCGAGTTTGTGACAACTTTCCAGTCTCGCCAGGCGTGCTGCTGTTTGGGTCCAGGGTTGTGTATTATCAAACGTGCAGAACAATCCGTCCTAGCTCGAAACGAATCTGCATTAAAAAAACAGAAAACACTTACAGCTAAGGGAGGAGAGGGGAGTGAAAGTTATTTTTACTTATCAAACATTACGCAATAATGTCTCACTCTCACTGAACACGTTTACAAAAATAACTTTTGAGACCCGCGAATTACCAGCTGAGAATAATGCTGGCGTGTCTTTACCCCTGTAATATTTCAGTTAGTAATTATGACATTGGTTTCGTCTATTTGACTAGGCGGAGAAAAACGCACTGGTTTTCTTTTTAATACAACGAAACAACAATGTTGCGAATCGAGAGAAACACATTAACAACAATGTTGCGATTCGGGAGATTATACAACGAAACAACTATGTAGCAATTCGGGACAGAACAACGGAACAACAATGTTGCAATTCAGGAGACACGGGCTGGGTTAAATCGTAGCAAACGCTTCAGCTGACTGTAGAGGACTTGTTGGCTATCGCAAATTGACTCCAGACCCAGAATGAGCTCTAACAACAAACCAGCCTTACTGACTTGATAACTTACTCTAGCTCAAGTGTGTATCAACAGAAGCAAAACGCACTGCATTGGTGTTTTATTATAACTGCATAAACAATTTTATTTGCAAAAAAAAAATAAAGAAATGTATCGCCGTTAGCACAGCACAGACTGCTACTTCTAAAATGACGAGCGTGTCTCAGTTGCTGTTCACTGGATCACACCCAGATGTTAACCGTAGTCGTTAACCTAGTTATTGATTATTTTTCTCATCACGTTACAATGAAACAAACCTGTCAAACCAAACTCACAAAATCCCATCCGAACCTTACCCTCGCAACCAAACCTGACAGCCAGACCCACTGTGATCACCGCCTACCCCGAGTTCCCATTAGCGCAGCGCGCTTGGAGAAAGAGGGCCCCGCTCTGCCGCCATTGGCTCTTTCCGGAGTCGCTCACGGCCCGGGCTGAAGGAGGCGGCGAGGCTGGGGCGGTTTTGACTGTAAGGTCAGAGTGACATCTCCGGCGAGCTCTGCACGCTAGTCTGAGGAGGGCAGGGTTTCGGGTCGTGGAGAGAACAGCGAAATCACACCAGTGAGAGCGCCCGCCTTGATGGTAGCGGTAGCACTTACTGTACCTGCGAAGGCTGATTCATAAAATCACCGCCGGTCTCTGGCTTCACAGCGTACTTGGCAAAATAACCATCACGTCTTCTTTTCGTGCTTTATTCACCACGACCACTTTAATACATGCTATAACTGCCACCTACCATCTTTTTTTTTTGCTCTGTCCCTCAGCGCTGGTATGATGGGATAATGAATATTCCTCGAAATCGCTTGTACATCTTCGGCGAACACCCCTGTCTGTTTGCGCTCGGCCTGTGTCACGTCGTCAGGGAAGATTGTCAACAGCTTTCACCACGCACGGCCTCGTACTGTACCACAGTTTGGTGTGCTTCACTGTGCCTGCTCTGCCCACATGCCCACGTCAATAACAAAAAGTCCTCTTAAAAAAATACCACCACCCCGCAATTTCTCTTGTGGGAACGGAGTTTTACGCCCTGTGAAACGTACAGTATCAGGGAATCCAGCTGTAGTATCCCTGCTGTTCTTTTAAGGTGACATGGGGGGTGCAGAGATCAGTACAGCGTTAATACATGTAGGCTCTGCCCAATCACTCCGAGATCTTCCTCGGATGGGTTACTTTACTTTAATCTTCCTAGATGACCTTTCTACCATACTACAGTACATAATGTATCAGGGCTGTTAAGAAACACCTTGCTTCTGAACAGTCAAGTGAGACAGACAGTACAGTCTTTTCTACTTGTCAGAACAGGAATCCCAGATCACCTTCGCTCAAGGCAACAGGGTTTACATTTTCAAACGGCAGAGCCTGCTCAGTCAACAGTGTTGACCGTGCCACAAGGCTGCAGTCAAGCCTCCATCCAGCCCTCAAAGAAATACTGTAGCATAGCGACAACTTCTGATGCAAGGAAGTATGTTTTTTATGAGTAGCCCTGAAGGAAAACAACAGAACAGCAAAACTTCTCCCAGGACGTGTTAATGCTGGTACTCATTTCTATTTTATTTTCCACTTACAGTATATTCTACTAGTACTCCTGTTTCTGTTGTGTTAATCAGATGATGGCTCTGTCACCAGGCTTCTGAATGAGAACAGACGTGCAGTGCCCTTTGCTCAGCACTGTATATGGCTGTGAAGTGGCAGAAACTCGAGCCTCCTGGCTGAACACTGTGTCAGAATGACAGGAAATGTGGGGAGAGGGCTGCTGTTCAGCAGCACCAAAAATAGACTTAAATGGTGATGCCAGTTGTGGCTTTGAATCTTTGAAACTGCGGGGGGAATCTAGTTTTCCGTAACACAAAAGATGCTCAGCCAAGTTTCCTGTTTTTGCTTTAAAGTGGAAAATATCCCCAGAGGAGGAGGTCTGAGGGAGCACAAGAGAGATTCCTGTCGTTTTTCTCTCAAAGGTAAATGTACTTGCAAGCACACAGTTTTGACTTAGAAGAAGGGCTTTAGCTTTTGTGATCAATGCTGCTGTGGTTTCCTAGGCAATAAAAAAATCAAAAAGCAAAAGATGCCTCCTGTTTGTCCTAAAACACAACCAAAGGCAACACAGTACAACCACAGAGGGCTTATCCAGTACTGCCTGCAAAAAACGGCAGAGGTCTGTGCAACTCTGTGTATATGATATTGAACACAGTGCAATTTCTAACAGAGGCAACTGGAGCATAAAGTTATTACCTTAATGTCTTCAATACATAGGCATATTCTGTGATTTTCAAGGGGTTACCTATTATTAAAAGTATTTTTCATCAGGTTCCACTATCTTTTTATGTTATTGTGTCTCATAATATACCTCTGATTTACTATCTGAGAACCGTATGCTTATAGACTTCACCCCCGTTTTGCTGCAGATAGCAATAACACCTTGTAATGAACAGCCGTTACAAGAGGGAGTTCCTTCTCTCTGAGCCTTTTCTTCTGAGAATAGGTTAGATTGTCTAGGCTCAGCAGGCCTGCTATTCTATTTCATTATGGTGTCTAGATCATCTATTACTGAGCTGACCATTGAAGAGCAGCATCAAGTCATAAAACAAAATGACTTTTTTCCTTTGGCAGGCAAAGGTGGTAATACAATGTACGTAAGTACAGAGAAAGCAAAACACACCAGTGACATGTTTATGCTGTTAAGTGTAAATAAAGAAATAAAAACAACAATAGTTTCATTTGCCAAGAGATTGAACATATAGCCACAGTTTAGTACAGATGTATTTTGTAGCAGCAAATTACTTATTTTATAAAATGTATTTCTTTACAAATCATTTGGTGTAACGTGGACATTTGGAAAAAAAAAACAGTGTCAGAATTTTTCTTAGATGATGTCCGTTCGTGATTTAATAACAATTGTAGCAGCTTTTGCTTAAAATGTACAGGACACCATCTGGACATTCAAACGATAGTGATTTGTGCATTTCAGACCCTGGCTGGATAGTTCCCACCTCATCGAAATCCAGCAGCAGGTCCCTAGCCATGCTGGGCGGAGTGCCATTAGAAAGAAAACTCAGACCCTTCTGCTTTCTCAGCTGTCCTCTGTTCCCACTGGGGTGGTAACAGCTCTGGCAGATGTGAGAAGCATCCCAATCCTTTAATTAAAAAAAACAAACCAGAAAATGGGGCATTACTTGTAAAACTTCAAGGAAGTAATCTTTCTTCTTGAAGACATTAAAAGCTTTCCTGGTGTTCTGGTGCTTATCTTGTCAGACTATTTAGACAATTGAAATGCAATTCCCTCTGTACATCTCTCGCTTAAGAACATTTAAAAAAATATATTGACTATCCCTTGCAGTTTCAGGTATCTCAGTGTCAACGAGCTACATGTTATAGTTTTAAACAAAACACTGAACCGTGACTCACGACGGCACACACACCTCACAGTGTTAAATCCAATCCAAAGCCAGGATCAGTTATGGGAAATGAAGGTTATTCTCTTAGATCAGAACATAAGAAAGGTTACAAACCAGAGCAGGGCATTCTGTCTGTCTGGCCTGTTTGAAGGGTATTGGCTTCAATTGGCTTCAATGGCTGGGCAGCTTGTTGCACATTTCTTGGAACAAAAAGTGCACCTTGTGCAAAAAAAGTTTATAGACTCTTACTGGCGAATACTTGTTCTAATGCAGTCCCTCTAGAGAGCAGAAATAGTCTCTTCAATGTCAGAGGTACATTTATTTCTGGTTCCCACCCAAATGCGTGAAGAAATTATAAGATAGGGATGCCTTCTTCTGTCTGGCACTCAGCCAGAGTTTCCAAGTCATGAACAAAGGCTGACATTCTGCACGGAGATGCCAAACTGCGCTCGCTGAGCACCACCCTGCTGCTCCCGTAAACACTCCTGATGAAGACGGTACAGCCGCCCTCCCGTGTGCTCAGCTGTGCAGTCCCTCCAGGGAACTCCCTTGCACACCACAATAGTACCAGACCCCAGCGGCACAATCAGCAAGCAACACCTGGGTGTGCTTCCTCTTGAACCGAGAACACCCAGTCACGAGGCCTTTCACCGCTGATCCCAGGACCCTCTGTCTGAGCTCGAAGCTCTCACACACCACACCCCCGGCACAGGATGTGTTCATTCTGGGCAGGACGAACGGTGAGCCCCTGCCGGCTCAGTTCACTAGAACCGCACTGACATTTTCAGTCCCTCAAAAATGTTAGAGAAGTCTGATAGCGCAAAACTATTACTGAGGACACAGAAAGAGATTGATTTAAGTATATGCACCTATTTACATTTCCAGTATACTTTACTTCTCATTTCATGAAATTATCTACAACAATCATTGCACAGCACTGTTACTATCTGTTCCTGTTCCATAAAGCTTGTTGGACCTGAATTAATTTTGGGCTGCCCTGGTAAAGGTGACGTCACTCTTTATAAGCTGCAAATTATTTGTGATTTTGTTTTTAGCATGATTAATTGTTTAATTACATTATTCTTTGGCAACACTGCAAATGAACAGTCATGCCAATAAAGCACTTTGAATTGAATTGTATATCTACTCTGTCATAAATGGAGTGAAAGTGGATGGATCTAATCTGTTATGTTGAGCAGGGCCAGAAACATGACAGTTAAAAGACATAATGGTTCAGGCAGTGAATCAAAGTCATTAAAAATTACTTTAGTTATAGATCATAAGGATTCAAGTTCATTGTGGAGCATTTCTTTCTTTTTGATTAATCTTTTAAATTTCCCTTTTCCATCCTCAGCTAATTAGAAGAATGGTGAGGATAAAGGCGTTTAGATGTAACTGATGTTTCGTATAGAACTGTGAACCACAGAAGAATCTTCTCACTTTACAGAAGGTGTTAATCTAGCAAATGAAGCAGAATAATGTCCCTAAATTGTGATTTTTCTAACCACAAAATAGGAAGTATTGTCATTCCTTTGCACTCCTTATCAAAAACCGTTTACCACAACATTAACACCGTATTAAGAAGCCAATCAGGAAGCAGAGCTCATCCTGTTGTGCACACAGCCATAGACATGGACAAAGGCAAGCTGCAACAATCAAAAAATGATCAAATCTGCGTTTGTGTTGCCTTCTATTTTCTAAAATCTCAGCCACATTTAAGACATGGTTCTACTAGAGTAAAACTGAATCAAATCGATGTCTCCAGTATGTTGTGCACATAGCAGGGACCTACACAGACACCTGACACCAGCAATGACATCATATTCTGGGAAAACATGCTGCCTCCTTAAATA